TGCACAAATCCTGCACCGAATCCTGCACCGAATCCTGCACAAATCCTGCACCAATCCTGCACCGAATCCTGCACCGAATCCTGCACCGAACCTGGCCCCGAACCTGCACCGAATCCTGCACCGAAATCCTGCACCAATCCTGCACCGAATCCTGCACCGAATCCTGCACCGAATCCTGCACCGAATCCTGCACCGAATCCGGCACCGAATCCTGCACCGAATCCTGCACGGAGGGCCGGGACAGGGAGCGGGGACAAAGTCCGCGCGGTGTCCCCGCGCTGTGCCGCTCCTTGTGGCAGGGAGGAGGGAGGGAGGGAGGGAGGGAGGGACGCTCGGGAGCGGCACCGAATCCTGCCCAAATCCTGCACCGAATCCTGCACCGAATCCTGCACAAATCCTGCACCAATCCTGCACCGAATCCTGCACCGAATCCTGCACCGAATCCTTCCCTGTGCCGGTGCTGGCCCGGCTGCCGCGGGGAGAGAGAACGGGAACGGGATGGGAATGACGGGAATGGGAACGGGAATGGGAACGGGAATGACGGGAATGGGAACGGGAATGGGAATGGGAACGGGAATAACGGGAATAACGGGAATGGGATGGGAATGACGGGAATGGGAACGGGAATGACGGGAATAACGGGAACGGGAATTCTGCAATTCCGGGGCCTGCGGGGATGGGGAACGGGGGGTGGGGAACGGGGCAGGCTGGGGAAATGGGAAATGGGAAATGGGAACGGGGGAGCTCCTGGAGAGGGGAGGGAGGGAAACAAAAACGGGGCTTGGGGTGGGGGTAAAAGTTAAAATAAATGCAGGGCTTGGGGTGGGAATTAATCCAGGGCTTGGGGCTGCGATTGGGAAAGGGATCCAGGGTTTGGGATTAAAATAAATCCAGAGTTTGGGGTGGGAGGGAAATTAATCCAGGGTTTGGGGCTGGGATTGGGAAAGGGATCCAGGTTTTAGGGCCTGGGTTAAAAAGGTTCTGGAGGTCTGGAATTGGGAATGGAATGGGATGGGATGGGATGGGATGGGATGGGATGGATGGGATGGGATGGGCTGGGATGGGATGGGATGGCGCGTCGCGCTCGATGACGTGTCCGCGGCGGCGGCGGCGGGGCCGGGATGCACCGGCGGGGGGTGGGGGCGGGGGCGATCGCCAGGAGGAAACTGACCGAGGTCACCGGGACCGGAACGGGACACGGGACACGGGACCGGGAACGGGATCGGGAATGGGAACGGGAACGGGATCGGGAATGGGAACAGGACACAGGAACGGGAACGGGAACGGGACCGGGAACTGGGAACGGGATCGGGAACGGGAACGGGACCGGGACACAGGAACGGGAACGGGACCGGGATCGGGAACGGGAACTGGGAACGGGATCGGGAACGGGAACTGGGAACGGGACCGGGAACGGGAACTGGGAACGGGATCGGGAACGGGAACGGGAACGGGACAGGGGCCGGACCGCGGGGCCCGGGAGGGCTCGGGGGCTCTGAGGGGACCCCAGAACCGCGGCCCGGGCAGCGCGGCCAGAGCCGGGGCTGGGCTCGGAGCCCCGGGGAGGAACGGGCGGCCCGGCTCGGCATGGCCCGGCTCGGTCTGTCCCGGGTCGGTCTGTCCCGGGTCGGTCTGTCCCGCCGCCCCGTGCGCTGACCCGCTCTCCCCCCAGGCCAAGTACAAGGAGCGCGGCACGGTGCTGGCTGAGGATCAGCTGGCCCAGGTGGGAACTGCAGCGCGGCCCGGCTGCCCCGTCCTGTGACTGTGTCTGTGTGTCTGTGTGTCTGTCCCTGTCCCTGTGACTGACGGCTGCCCTGTCCTGTGTCTGTGTGTCTGTGTGTCTGTCCGTGTCCCTGTGTCCCTGTCCCTGTCTGTGTCCGTGTCCCTTTCCTGTCCCTGTCCCCATCACCATCCCCATCCCCTTCCTGTCCCTGTCCCTGTGTCTGTGTGTCTGTCCGTGTCCCTGTGACTGTGTCCGTGTGTCTGTGTGTCTGTCCGTGTCCCTGTCCTGTCCCTGTCCCTGTCCCTGTGACTGTGTCTGTGTGTCTGTGTGTCTGTCCGTGTCCCTGTCCTGTCCCTGTCCCTGTGACTGTGTCTGTGTGTCTGTCCGTGTCCCTGTGTCCCTGTCCTGTCCCTGTCCTGTGACTGTGACTGTGTGTCTGTCCGTGTCCCTGTGTCCCTGTCCTGTCCCTGTCCCTGTGACTGTGTCTGTGTGTCTGTCCGTGTCCCTTTCCTGTCCCTGTCCCTCCCATCCATTCCCAGCCCATTTCCCGTTCCCAGTGCTGCATCCCAGCCCCAATCCCGCTGTTCCTGTTCCTCGCTCCCGTCCTGCTGTCCCCATTCCGTGTCCCATGTCCCATTCCGTGTCCGTCTGTCCCATTCCGTGTCCCATTCCCATGTCCCATTCTGTGTCCGTGTGTCCGTCTGTCCAGATGTCCAAGCAGCTGGAGACGTTCCGCACGCACCTGCAGGCCTTCGCCTCCAAGCACAAGCAGGAGATTCGCCGCAGCCCCGAGTTCCGCCTGCAATTCCAGCACATGTGTGCTGCCATCGGCGTCGACCCGCTGGCCTGTGAGCACGGGGACACGGGGACAGGTACGGGAATGGGAACGGGAATAACGGGAATAATGGGAATGGGAATAACGGGAATGGGAATGGGACGGGAATGGGAACGGGAATAACGGGAATGACGGGAATGGGAACGGGAATTCTGCAATTCCAGGACCTGCGGGGATGGGGAACGGGGGGTGGGGAACGGGGCAGGATGGATGGGATGGGATGGGATCAGTGGGATGGGATGGGATGGGCTGGGATCAGTGGGATGGGATGGGACAGAATGGAATTAATGAATTCCCATCCCCCGGTGTCCGTCCCCCTCTGGCGGCCGAGCCAGAACCTGCCCAGAGACCGGGAGAGGCAGCGGGGGAAGGGAAACCAAACCCAAGGAACAAAAATGGTGTGAAAATTGAATAAAATAAAGTAAAATAAAAATAAAATAAAAAATTAAGCAAAAATTAAAAATGAAATAAAGTAAAATAAAATAAAGTAAAAAAAATAGAATAAAATAAAAAGAAAATAAAGAAAAAGAAAATAAAAATAAAATAAAAAATTAAGCAAAAATTAAAAATGAAATAAAGTAAAATAAAATAAAGTAAAAAAAATAGAATAAAATAAAAAGAAAATAAAGAAAAAGAAAATAAAAATAAAATAATAAAATAAAATAAAATAAAATAAAATAAAATAACCAATAACACTAAAAATAATAGAAATAAAAATTCAAAATTTAAAAGTAATAACAATGCGATTTAACGTTTAAAATGAAAACCTTTCCCCTTTAACCCTTTAACCCTTTCCCTCCCGGAAAGGCGGAACCCTTCCGGCACGCGGCGGCGAATGATGACGTCACTGACAGCGCGGATGACGTACACGACGCGCCCAATGACGAAACACGGCGCGCTCGAGGCGTCACGCGTCGCTCTCGATGACGTTTCTGCGGCGGCGGCGGCGGGGCCGGGATGCACCGGCGGGGGGTGGGGGCGGGGGCGATCGCCAGGATGGGACAGGGACAGGGACAGGGACAGGGGGACAATGGGAATGGGGGGACAATGGGGACAGGAACAGAGGAACAGGGACACGGGGACAGTGGGGGGATAACGGGGGGACAGCAGTGGGGACAGCTGGGGGAACCAGGGGGCTCTGGGGCCATCCCAGGGGGGCCGTCCTGGGGGACAACAGGGGGAAAAACAGGGGGGACAAAGATGGGGCCAGCGAGGACAGTGTGGGGGCACAGAGCCCAGCCCGGTGTCCAGGGACAGACCCCAGCCCGGTGTCCCTGTGCCCCAGCTGGAAAAGGGTTCTGGGCCGAGGTGCTGGGGGTCGGAGACTTCTACTACGAGCTGGGCGTGCAGATCATCGAGGTGTGCCTGGCGCTGCGGCACCGCAACGGAGGTGGGCACGAGCGGGGAGCACCCCGAGCCCAGGGATCCAGCCCTGAGCCCAGGGATCCATCATCCCCGACCCCAGGGATCCAGCCCTGACCCCAGGGATCCAGCCCTGAGCCCGGGGATCCATCCCTGAGCCCAGGGATCCACCCCTGAGCCCAGGGATCCAGCCCTGACCCGGAATCCATCACTGACCCCAGGGATCCAGCCCTGAGCCCAGGGATCCATCACTGACCCCAGGGATCCAGCCCTGACCCCAGGGATCCACCCCTGAGCCCAGGGATCCATCACTGACCCCAGGGATCCATCACTGACCCCAGGGATCCAGCCCTGAGCCCAGGGATCCAGCCCTGAGCCCAGGGATCCATCACTGACCCCAGGGATCCAGCCCTGAGCCCAGGGATCCATCCCTGAGCCCAGGGATCCATCACTGACCCCAGGGATCCAGCCCTGACCCCAGGGATCCACCCCTGAGCCCAGGGATCCATCACTGACCCCAGGGATCCAGCCCTGAGCCCAGGGATCCAGCCCTGAGCCCAGGGATCCATCACTGACCCCAGGGATCCAGCCCTGAGCCCAGGGATCCATCACTGACCCCAGGGATCCATCCCTGAGCCCAGGGATCCATCCCTGATCTGAGATCCACCCCTGACCCCAGGGATCCACCCCTGAGCCCAGGGATCCAGCCCTGATCTGAGATCCAGCCCTGAGCCCAGGGATCCATCACTGACCCCAGGGATCCACCACTGACCCCAGGGATCCACCCCTGACCCGGGAATCCACTGATCCCAGAGATCCTCTGATCCCAGAGATCCATCTGCCCTGATCCCAGGGCCCCCTGATGCCTTGGATCCCCCATTCCCTGATCCCAGAGACCCAGGCATTATCCCAGGGGCCCATCCCTGATCCCAGGGGACCCCAGGGATCCACCCCCAGTCCCAGAGATCCCATCAATCCCATCCCTCCGTGGGAAGGGGGAACAATCCGAGGGATCCCGGCCGTCTCCAGAGGGTCGGGATTCCCAGCGGGGACGTTCTTCATCCCAAAGGGCAGTTCACCCCGGGAACGAGCCTGAATCCCCAAAAATGGGATAACAACCCATAAAATCCCCAAAAAATCCCCAAAAATCCCATAAAAATCCCCCAAAATCCCATAAAAATCCCATAAAATCCCATAAAACCCCCCAAAATCCCATCCGGCCGTCTCCAGAGGGTCGGGATTCCCAGCGGGGACGTTCTTCATCCCAAAGGGCAGTTCACCCCGGGAACGAGCCTGAATCCCCAAAAATCCCATAAAAACCCATAAAATCCCCAAAAAATCCCCAAAAATCCCATAAAAATCCCAAAAAAATCCCCTAAAATCCCCCAAAATCCCCCAAAATCCCCCAATCCCAGCGTGGGCCCGTGCTGCAGGGCTGATCACGCTGGAGGAGCTGCAGGCCCAGGTGCTCAAGGGCCGCGGGAAGTTCGCGCAGGACGTCAGCGCGCGAGTGGGGATGGGAATGCCGGGAATTCCGGGAATTCTGGGAATTCCTCAGGAATCAGCGCCTGAGTGGGGATGGGAATGCCGGGAATTCCGGGAATTCCTGGGAATCAGCGCCTGAGTGGGGATGGGAATGCCGGGAATTCCGGGAATTCCTCAGGAATCAGTGCCTGAGTGGGGCTGGGAATGCCGGGAATTCCGGGAATTCCTCAGGAATCAGTGCCTGAGTGGGGCTGGGAATGCCGGGAATTCCTGGGAATCAGCGCCTGAGTGGGATTGGGAATTTTCTCCCTAAAAACTAACCCCAGCGTAATTTTTCCCCATAAATCCAACCCTGGGATGATTTTTCCCTAAAAACCAACCCCAGCAGGATTTTTCCCCACGAATCCAACCCTGGGATGATTTTTCCCCACAAACCCAGCCCCGGGAGGATTTTCCCACCGGAGCTGCGAGGAAGGGACGGGGTCAGTCCCCACAGAAGCAGAGCGCCCGAGTGGGGATGGGAATGCCGGGAATTCCGGGAATTCCTCAGGAATCAGCGCCCGAGTGGGGATGGGAATGCCGGGAATTCCGGGAATTCCTCAGGAATCAGTGCCCGAGTGGGGATGGGAATGCCGGGAATTCCGGGAATTCTGGGAATTCCTCAGGAATCAGCGCCTGAGTGGGGATGGGAATGCCGGGAATTCCGGGAATTCCTGGGAATCAGCGCCTGAGTGGGGATGGGAATTTTCTCCCTAAAAACCAACCCCAGGGTAATTTTTCCCCATAAATCCAACCCCAGGAAGATTTTCCCTAAAAACCAACCCCAGCAGGATTTTTCCCCACGAATCCAACCCTGGGATGATTTTTCCCCACAAACCCAGCCCCAGCAGGATTTTCCCCCACAAATCCTGGGATGATTTTTCCCCACAAATCCAATCCCAGGAGAATTTTTCCCCACAAACCCAACCCTGGGATGATTTTTCCCTAAAAACCAACCCCAGCAGGATTTTTCCCCACAAACCCAACTCTGGGATGATTTTTCCCCACAAATCCAATCCCAGGAGAATTTTTCCCCACAAACCCAACCCTGGGATGATTTTTCCCCACAAACCCAGCCCCGGGATGATTTTTCCCCACAACACCCAACCCTGGGATGATTTTTCCCTAAAAACCAACCCCAGCAGGATTTTTCCCCACAAATCCAACCCTGGGAGGATTTTCCCCCACAAACCCAACCCTGGGATGATTTTTCCCCACAAACCCAGCCCCGGGAGGATTTTCCCACCGGAGCTGCGAGGAAGGGACGGGGTCAGTCCCCACAGAAGCAGATTTTTAGTTGAAAAGCCCCATTTTTGGGGCTGAGCCCCCAAGGCCGCCCAGGTGCCCAAAGCCCGGTCCCTGCGCGGTGGCAATTCCCGGATTTTGGGGCGCTCCCGGAGTGGCCGCTGGGGTGCCGTGTCCCCAGGGACGATCTGCTCCGCGCCATCAAGAAGCTGAAGGTTCTGGGCAGCGGCTTCGGGATCATCCCCGTGGGGGGAACGTTCCTGGTGCAGTCGGTGCCGGCCGAGCTCAGCATGGACCACACGGTGGTGCTGCAGCTGGCCGAGGTGGGAGCGCTGGGAATGGGATTGGGAATGCTGGGATTGGGAATGCTGGGAATGGGAATGCTGGGATTGGGAATGCTGGGAATGGGATTGGGAATGCTGGGAATGGGAATGGGGCCTGGCTGAACATGGACCACACGGTGGTGCTGCAGCTGGCCGAGGTGGGAGCGCTGGGAATACTGGGAATGCTGGGAATACTGGGAATGCTGGGAATGGGGATTGGGAATGCTGGGAATGGGGCCTGGCTGAACATGGACCACACGGTGGTGCTGCAGCTGGCCGAGGTGGGAATGTTGGGAACGACACCTGGGAATGGGAATGCTGGGAATGGCACCTGGGAATGGGGAATTGCTGCTTCCAGGACCGGGAACTGGGATCGGATCGGGCTCGTGGGCAAAGCTGCCGAAGTGTGGGGAATGGGGAATTGCTGCTTCCAGGACCGGGAGCTGGGATCGGATCAGGCTCGGTTTAAACCTGGGTGAAAAAGAGCCAGAAAACCCTGGTGCTTCCATGAAAAACCGGGATTGGGCCGGGCTGGGATGGGACCGAAGGGTCCCTGCTCTGCTGGGGCTGGGCTGACGCCCAGACGGATTTTTCCTGGTTTTTGTTCCCAGAAAAAAGGATTTGTGACAGTCAGCGAGATCCGGGACAGCCTCAAGTGGGAGACGGAGAGAGCCAAGCAGGTGCTGGTAGGTGGGGATGGGAAACTGGGAAACTGGGAATGGGGATGGGATGGTAATGGGAGCAGCAACGGCAACTCAGCTCATCCCAGTCATTCCCAGCCCATCCAAGCCCATTCCCAATCCCATTTTTCCACTCCAGGACCACCTGCTGAGGGAGGGCATGGCCTGGCTGGATCCCATTCCCATTATTCCCATTTTTCCCGTTTTTCCCGTTTTCCCAGGACCACCTGCTGAGGGAGGGCATGGCCTGGCTGGACGCGCAGGCCCCGGCCGAGCCGCAGTTCTGGCTGCCCGCGCTCTTCTCGGAGCTGCACGGCCAGGAGAGCACGGCCGGGCCCTGAGCGCCCGGCAGCCCCGGGGTCCTCGGAATCCCGCCCGGAATCCCCCCCAGGATCCTCGGGAATCACCCTGGAATCCTCGGAATCCCGCCCGGAATCCCTCCCAGGATCCTCGGGAATCCCTCCTGGAATCCCTGAGAATCACCTCTGGAATCCTGGCTGGAATCCCTCCCAGGATCCTCGGGAATCCCTCCTGGAATCCTCGGGAATCACCCCTGGAATCCCTCCCAGGATCCTCAGGGATCCCCCCGGGATGGAATCCCGCCCGGAATCCCTCCCAGGATCCTCGGGAATCCCTCCTGGAATCCTCGGGAATCACCCCTGGAATCCCTCCCAGGATCCTCAGGGATCCCCCCTTTGAATCCCTTCTGGGATCCTTGGGAATCTCCTTCCTGGAGTCCTTGGGAATTCTTCCTGGAGTCCTCCGAATCCCGGCTGGAATCCCCCCCAGGATCCTCAGGAATCCCCCCTGGAATTCTCTTGGGAATCCTTCCTGGAGTCCTTGGGAATCCTTCCTGGAGTCCTCCGAATCCCGGCTGGAATCCCCCCCAGGATCCTCAGGATTCCCCCCTGGAATTCTTGAATCCCTGCTGGAGTCCTCAGGAATCCTGGCTGGGATCCCCGGGAATCCCTCCTGGAATCCCCCCTGGAGTCCCCTGGAATCCCCGGGAATCCTCAGGATCCCTCCCATTCCCGCAATCCCAGGGACAGCAGGACTGGGAATAAAAGTTTTGTAAGAAGTTCCTGAGTTTGGGAAGTTCTGTGGGATCAGCCCCTGCTGGAATCACCCCCTGCTTTTGGGTGGAAATGCCCCAGATTAGGGAACAGGAGGAAAAGGAGCCGAGGGCGGAGTCTCAGAGGATGCCAGTGAGATCTGGCTCTGGAATTTTGGCTCCCAGCAGTGGGAAAACGGCCCTGGGAAGTCGTTATTCCATGAGAATTCCCAGCAAGGAACACCACAGGCTCCGTTCTGCCAAAACAGAATTTATTGCACAAAGGAAAAAACCGAAAAAACCAAAAAAGGAAACACAACCCCCCCAAAAAAACCCAAAAAAAAAAAGAATTTCAATCTTCTGCACACCGGGGAGCAGCCGGGATCTCCGCGTGCCTTTGCTGCTCCCAGCTCCGTGCCAGCCTCCAAAAATGTGGTTTTTAAAAGGGTTCTAGTGCCTGCAGGACTGTCACTGGGCTGGGGACACCCCGGGGACACCCCCGGGGGACAGCAGGCAATTCCCAGCCCTGGGAAAGCTGGGAAAGCTGCTCGGGTGACACACAGGTGACACAGGTGACACAGGAGGTGGCACCGGCCCCGGGGTGGCAGCTCGGCCTCCCCCGAGGGTTAAATCCAAACCAGCCCCAGGATTTGGGTGAAAAAAGGGAAACAATTCCCGAGGTTTTCGGGAAAAGCACAAAAATTCCCCATTTCCCACCGGGAAATTCCTCACCAAGGAAATTCCCCATTTCCCACCTGAGAAATTCCCCATTTCCCACAAGGCAAATTTCTCCATTTCCTACCTGGGAAATTGCCCCATTTCCTACCAGGAAAATTCCCCATTTCCTATCAGGGAAATTCTCATTTCCCACCAGGGAAATTCCCCAATTCCCATCAGGGAAATTCCCATTTTCTACCAGGCAAATTCCCATTTCCCACCAGGGAAATTCTCATTTCCCACCTGGTATATTCTCATTTCCCACCAGGGAAATTCCCCAATTCCCATCAGGGAAATTCCCATTTTCTACCAGGGAAATTCCCATTTCCCACCAGGGAAATTCCCATTTCCCACCAGGGAAATTCCTCATTTCCCACCAGGGAAATTCTCATTTCCCACCAGGGAAATTCCCCAATTCCCATCAGGGAAATTCCCATTTCTCACCAGGGTAATTCCCTGTTTCCCACCTGGGAAATTCTCATTTCCCACCAGTGAAATTCCTCATTTCCCATCAGGGAAATTCCCATTTCCTACCTGAGAAATTCCCCATTTCCCACAAGGGAAATTTCCCCATTTCCGACCTGAGAAATTCCCATTTCCCACCTGAGAAATTCCCATTTCCCACCGGGAAAATTCCCATTCCCACTTCCTGCTGCAGTCCCCACGGCCCCGGGGGATCCGGCTGCTCCTGCCCCTCGGGATGAGGCTCCAGGCTGGGAAGTGCTCCCAGCACCAGCAGGACCCAAACTGGGCCAGACTGGTGGGGAGGGCGGGCTCTGCCCTTTGCTGTCCCTAAAATCCACAATTCCAGGGGGAACTGTCACCTCCAGGCGGGCTGGGCGGGTGGCACTGCCACTGCCACCTCTGCGTGCCACCCCCGGCGCCGACCCCGCTCTCGGCGGTCCCAAAACGCAGAATTTGGCAAGGTTTGGCAAAGAGTCTGTGCCAGAGCCCAGCAGGGACTGTCCCTCCCTCCCTCCCTCCCTCCCTCCATGGGGCGGCAGCGGGGAGGGAGGGGACAGGAGGGGACACGGAGGTGGCACTGACCCGAGGTGGGACACACAGAATTCCAGGTGAGGAAAGAACGGCTCCACCAGGAGAAAAGCCCTCCTGAAAGGCTAAATGCAGTGTGACAGAAGCCATCAAACTGATCTCAGCTCTGCCCTCCTCATCCTCCCTTCCCCAGACCTCCAGGCTGAACAAATCCATGGATTCCTGCAGTTCCCACTTTCCACATGAAGTCTCCAAAGTGCCCCAGGGCTCGAGTAAAGCTTTGGGGAAGGAGCCCCAATTCCAGCAGTGAGAATTCCTTTAGCTTTGGTCTGCCTAGAAGAAAGACACCAGGGAGGCCCCAGCTCTCCCAGATTCCACCTGGACACGCCTTGGGCTATCCAAGCACTCCCACAGCTCCAGGGAAGGGCTCCCTCCCTGCCCAGGAGCAGAAAAGCTCTCAAGGATTTGCAGTCTAGAGCTCATTCTTTAATCGAACGGAGGAAAAAAAAAAACCAAAAAAAAAAACCTGGAAAAAAAAAACCAAACCAAACCAAAACAAAAAAAAAAACCCCCAAAAATCCCCAACCAGTGTAGGTGTTCTCCAACAAAACCCCAAAAAACAACCTGATGCCACATGCCAGGAAGTACCTTTGTCCAAGAGGAGCCTGTCCCGAGCTGGGCTTTGTCTCTTTTTGGGAATTCTCCTCGGGGGATCCTCGGGGCGCTCTCCGGGCGCTGTCCCCGCCCCGGCCTGGCTGTGCTGCAGTCCCGGGCCGGGCCGGGCCCTCCTAGGCCCTGGGGCAGCCCTGGGGCTCGGGCTCGGCCTCCGAGGAGCTGCTCTCCGAGTCCCCCTCGGCGCTGTCCGGCTGCTGCCGCTCCTGCAGCCGCGCCCGCAGCGCCTGCAGCCGCCCCAGCAGCGCCTGGTAGTCAAAGTGGCCGCGCTTCTCCCCAAAAGGGTCCTGGCAGGGGAAACGGGGGTCAGGGCGCTCCGGGACAGGGGACGGGCTGGAAACGGGGGGAATTCCGCAGGGAAATGCCAGCCTGGGCGGGGAGGATGGTGAAATTCCCCTGGACAGGATCCTGAATTCCCCTGGACAGGATCCTGGAATTCCCCCTGGACAGGATCCTGGAATTCCCCTGGACAGGATCCTGAATTCCCCTGGGAAGGATCCTGGAATTCTCACTGGACAGGATCCTGAAATTCTACTGGGAAGGATCCTGGAATTCGATTGGGGAGGATCCTGAAATTCTACTGGGAAGGACCCTGGAATTCCACTGGGAAGGACCCTGGAATTCCACTGGGGAGGACCCTGGAATTCTCACTGGACAGGATCCTGGAATTCCCCCTGGAGAGGATCCTTGAACTCCTCCCCCTGGTGCTGCACATCTGTCCAGGCCCAGCTGTCCCCAGCTGTCCCTGCCCTGTCCCAGCCCTGTCCCAGCCCTGTCCCCAGCTGTCCCAGCCCTGTCCCCAGCTGTCCCAGCCCTGTCCCAGCCCTGTCCCCAGCTGTCCCAGCCCTGTCCCAGCCCTGTCCCCAGCTGTCCCTGCCCTGTCCCCAGCTGTCCCAGCCCTGTCCCAGCCCTGTCCCCAGCTGTCCCTGCCCTGTCCCCAGCTGTCCCCTCACCTGCATGGTCTGGCCCTGCAGGTGCAGCCTCTCCTTGCACACGCCCTCGTAGAAGTCCAGGTACTCCATGAAGGATTTCTCCATGACGCCGCTGGGGACACGGGGGACACGGTCACCACGGCCGTGGGGACACCGCGGTGCCACCCCGTGCTGTCCTGCTGGCACGGCCTGGCTGGGCCCGGGGGCTGCGGGGAGGGGACAGGGGACAGGGAGGGGACAGGGGACAGAGGGGACAGAGAGGGGACAGAGCTGGGGAGGGGACAGAGCCAGGAAGGGGACAGAGCCAGGGAGGGGACAGGGGACAGGGACAGGGAAGGGACAGAGGGGACAGAGCCCCGGGGAAGGGACAGAGCCGGGGAGGGGACAGAGCCCAGGGGACCCGGGCACAGCAGCTGCGCTCCCCTCCCTCCTCCCAGGAACTTTCTGGGAATGTTTTCCCCCAGAGCTCGTCCTGCACATTCCCTGCACAGGCCCCGCTCCCGGGAATTCGGGAATGACGGCTGGGAATGGATCCTGGTGCCCCCAGCCCCCCCGGTGTCCCCGTGTCCCCGTGTCCCCGTGTCCCGGTGTCCCGTACCGGAGGGGCTCGGGGCAGGGACACTTCCCCTCCAGCATGTCACACACGGCCACGCGGATGGTCTCGTGCCGGATGCACTCGTTGTAGTTCTTGCTGTCCCCGGGGTGCCGCTCCTGGGGACACAGCGTGAGGGCAGGGCCTGACCCGGGCACAGCCCGGCCTGACCCGTTCTGACCCGGGCAGAACCCAGCCTGACCCGTTCTGACCCGGGCACAGCCCGGCCTGACCCGTTCTGACCCGGGCAGAACCCGGCCTGACCCGCTCTGACCCGGGTAGAACCCAGCCTGACCCGTTCTGACCCGGGCAGAACCCGGCCTGACCCGCTCTGACCCGGGTAGAACCCAGCCTGACCCGTTCTGACCCGTGCAGAACCCGGCCTGACCCGTTCTGACCCGGGCAGAACCCGGCCTGACCCGTTCTGACCCGGGCACAGCCCGGCCTGACCCGTTCTGACCCGGGCAGAACCCGGCCTGACCCGTTCTGACCCGGGCACAGCCCGGCCTGACCCGTTCTGACCCGGGCAGAACCCGGCCTGACCCGTTCTGACCCGGGCACAGCCCAGTTCCAGCTGCAGTCCCACTTAATTCCAGGCTGAGATCCCAATTAATTCCAGCCTGCAATCCCAGTCAGTTCCAGCCTGGAACTCTGACCCGGGCAGAACCCGGCCTGACCCGTTCTGACCCGGGCAGAACCCGGCCTGACCCGTTCTGACCCGTGCAGAACCCGGCCTGACCCGTTCTGACCCGGGCAGAACCCGGCCTGACCCGTTCTGACCCGGGCACAGCCCAGTTCCAGCTGCAGTCCCACTTAATTCCAGGCTGAGATCCCAATTAATTCCAGCCTGCGATCCCAGTCAGTTCCAGGCTATAATCCCAGTCAGTCCCAGCCGCAATCCCAGTCAGCTCCAGGATAATCCCAGTCCGTCCCAGGCAGGTTCCCAGTTCCAGGCTATAATCCCAGTCAGTCCCAGCCTGCAATCCCAGTCTGTCCCAGCTGGGATCCCAGTTCCAGGCTATAATCCCAGTCAGCTCCAGTCCATCCCAGTCAGCTCCAGGATAACCCCAGTCAGCTCCAGCCCATCCCAGTCCATCCCAGTCCATCCCAGTGCATCCCAGCGCTCCCACCTGCTCGAAGCCGGGCTCGTTGTGGTACGGGTTCTCGGTCATCAGGGACTGGATGGAGATCAGCACTGACGAGATGCTCTGGGCCGGGCTCCAGGCCGGGCCTGTCCACGTGCTGGGCCAGCAGGGCACAGAAACTCCAATTAACGACCTCGTTAATTAACCAGCAGCACCGCCCACCCACGGCAGAGCCTGAAAACCTGGGGAGCAGAGCTGGGCCCGACCTGGGGAGCAGAGCTGAGCCTGACCTGGGGAGCAGAGCTGGGCCTGACCCTGGGCCCGACCTGGGGACCTCCCCTGGACCCAAACCTCCCCAGCACAGCCTGAACTGTCCTGTCCAGCTCAGCTGGACCCAGCCTTACCCCAGGATGCTGAGGGGTTCCCTAGGCCCGGCTTACCCCAGGGTGCTGAGGCATGCTTTAGGCCTGGCTTACCCCAGGATGCTGAGGCAGACCCCAGGGTGCTGAGGCAGACCCCAGGGTGCTGAGGCAGACCCCAGGGTGCTGAGGCATGCTCTAGGCCAGGCTTACCCCAGGATGCTGAGGCAGACCTTGCCGTTGCGGTAGAAGTTGGGGTTGAAGCGCACGGTGTTGTTGCCCGTGGTCATGAGCTTGACGCGGGGCGGGTGGATGGGGTAGTCGGGCGGGCAGCGGAACAGGAACAGGAAGAAGCCGCCCTCGTAGGGGGTGTCGAACGGGCCCGTGATCAGCGCGTGGATCTGCGGGGACACCGAGCCCTGCGGCTTCCCCACCGGCACGGCCCGGCGCTCCCAAACCCTGCACAGCTCCTGCGGCTTCCCGACCGGCACGGCCCGGCGCTCCCAGAGCCTGCGGCATTCCCAAACCCTGCAGCATTCCCAGAGCCTGTAGCATTCCCAAACCCTGCGGCTTCCCGACCGGCACGGCCCGGCGCTCCCAGAGCCTGCGGCATTCCCAAACCCTGCGGCATTCCCAAACCCTGCAGCGCTCCGGCATTCCCAAACCCTGCATGGCTCCGGCATTCCCAAACCCTGCAGCATTCCCAAACCCTGCGGCATTCCCAAACCCTGAGGTGTTCCCAGACCCGGCATGGCTCCGGCATTCCCAGACCCTGCGGCTTCCCGACCGGCACGGCTCCGGTGTTCCCAGAGCCTGCAGCATTCCTGGGGTGTCCCCGCACAGCTGAACGCCCTGCACAGCTCCGGCGTTCCCAGACTATCCACAGCTCCAGCATTCCCAAACCCTGCACAGCTCCGGCGTTCCCAGAGCCTGCAGCGTTCCCAAACCCTGAGGCGTTCCCAGACCCTCCGGAGCTCCTCAACCCCGCGCCATTCCCCAATCCTCCGGGGATCCCAAGGCCTCCAGCATTCCCAAACCATCCAGCATTCCCAAACCATCCAGCATCCCCACACCATCCAGCATTCCCAAACCCCGCTCCACTGGATGCCACCCCCCATCCCTGGGGAATCCAGAGCCTTGCTGTTCCCAGGGCAGTGATGGGATATTCCAGCCGGGATATTCCAGCCGGGAATGCTCCTGGATCCCGGATTTGGGGAGGGGGGCACCCCGGGCTGCTGTTCCCAGGGCAGTGATGGGATATTCCAGCCGGGAATGCTCCTGGATCCCGGATTTGGGGAGGGGGCACCCCGGGCTGCTCACCTTGGTCATGTCGTGGGGGTCGGGCACCACGAACATCCCCGGGGGCGGCTCCTTGTAGATGGACATGATATCCCTGGAAAAGGGAGAGGGAAAAGGGAATGAGCCGGGGGCTGCGGGGACGGGATTTGACCCGGGATTGGGGAGCTCTGGGTGAGCCCCCGCAGCCCAGCCCCAAACGCAGCCCAGGAATTCCAGAGCACGCTGGAATTCCCAGGAATCCCCCCTGGAATCCCCGGGAATCCTGGCTGGGATCCTCAGGAATCCTGACTGGAATTCTCAGGGATCTTCCCCAGAATCCCACCTGGAATCCCTCCAGGAACTCCCCCCTGGAATTTCCCCACCTCCAGCAGCAGGAATTCCAACAAAAATGAAAATCCAACGGAATTCCTGCCGTGAATTCCTCCGGATGCTCAGCCCCACAGGAGGGGAACTCTCCAGACCCCAATCCTGGGCAGGATCCCGGCAGGAATTACCGGGAGCCGTGCCAGTGCCTGTCCCGGGACACCGGGGGCTGTGCCCGTGCCTGTCCCGGGACACCGGGAGCCGTGCCCGTGCCTGTCCCGTGCCTGTCCCGCTGGGCGCAGGGCCCGTTACCGGCCGCGGGGCCGAGCCGAGCGCCCGCGCCGCGCTCCGTGCCGCGCCCCGCGCTGCCGGTTCCGTCCCGGTTCCGCCCCGGTTCCGTCCCGGTTCCGTCCCGGTTCCGCCCCGGTTCCGTCCCGGTTCCGTCCCGGTTCCGCCCCGGTTCCGCCCCGGTTCCGTCCCGGTTCCGCCCCGGTTCCGTCCCGGTTCCGTCCCGAGCCGGTGCCGCTCGCTCACCGTTTGATCCGCAGCAGGCAGGCCGGGCTGGGCCGCTCGCTGTCCCAGTCGCCGCTGACCGTGGGGTCCCAGAAGGCGGAGTGCGTGAGGAGCGCGGCCCCCGCGGCCGCCGCCGCCATCGGGGCGCCGCCGCTGCCGGGGATTGCTCCTCGGAATCCAGGGAATTGCTCCTCTCCCATCCCTTCCGTCTGCGCAGCCCAACCTTCCTCCAAACCTTGGAGCTTTTTGGGCGAGTCCTCCTCAGAATTCCTTCAGGAATTCCATTCCCAGGAATGTCCCCAGACAGAGCCACCAATTCCCCGTGTCCCATCCCCGTGTCCCATTCCCATGTCCCATCCCCATTCCCCGTGTCCCATTCCCATTCCCAGGAATGTCCCCAGAGCCATTATTCCCATGTCCCATTCCCATTCCCGTGTCCCATCCCCATTCCTGTGTCCCATTCCCACCCCCGTGTCCCATCTCCATTCCCTATTCCCAGGAATGTCCCCAGACAGAGCCACCAATTCCCCGTGTCCCATCCCTGTGTCCCATCCCCATCCCCGTGTCCCATGTTCCATCCCCGTGTCCCATTCCCACCCCCATGTCCCATCCCCGTGTCCCATCCCCATTCCCATGTCCCATGTTCCATCCCCGTGTCCCATCCCCGTGTCCCATTCCCATGTCCCATCCCCATCCCCATTCCCAGGACTCCGCTCCCATTCCCAGCAAGGTCACCGCCGCTGCCAGAGGCTCGGGGCAGGAGCAGCGGCTGCGTTAATTACTTTAATTACTCCGAGCGGGTAACGAGCCAAGCTCCCCCCGGGGCTCCCTTTGCTGGAAGGCGCGGCCGCCTCCCCCAGAATCCCGGGAATTCTGGGTGGGATTTGGGAATGTCTGCGAGCAGCCGGGGGGGCAATCCCTCAGCTCCGGGGTTTTCTGGGAATTCTGCTCTGAGGGGGGACAGGGACAGCTCCGTGCCCAGAATTCCCAAAATTCCTGGGAATTCCCTTCTGCCAAGGCCCCCGGGGGATCCGGAATGCCTCAGGTGGGGAGGGGCCTGGAATCCCAGCAGGGGCAGTTCCTGGGCACTGCGGGAATTCTCGGGATTCCCAGGAATTCTCCCCCGCATCCACCCCAAGCCCTTCCCAGGGAGCTCTGTTTTCCCAGGGCCCGGGTTTGGGGGAATTCCTGCACATTTCAGGTGGATCCGCCTTCGCTTCCCATTCCACAGCCGGGATTTCCCACCCACAACCTCCCCCAGGAAGTGGAAAATAAAGGTAAAAAAACCCCAAAACGGGGAATTCCGCAGAGAAATCCTTGGTTTCCTTCGGGAATTCCATCCCAGCCCCCGAGCTCTGCTTTCTCAGGGCCCAGATTTGGGGGGATTTCTGCAGATTTGAGTTCCCCTTCCCATTCCCACCCCGCAGCTGGGATTTCCCACCCCAAATCTCCCCCAGGGGGTGCAGAACACAGATAAAAACCCCAAAACGGGGAATTCCGCAGAGAAATCCTTGGTTTCCTTTGGGAATTCCACCCCAGCCCCCAACCCCAAACTCTTACTTCCCAGGGCCCCGATTTGGGGCAATTTTTTACAAATTTGGCTCCACCTTCATTTTCCTCTCCTCCCATTCCCGTTCCCACCTCACATCTGGGATTCCCCGCCCCGAGCGTCCCCCAGGGGTGCAGAACTCAGATAAAAACCCCAAACCAGTGAATTCTGTAGAGAAATGCGTGGTTTCCTTTGGGAATTCCATCCCAGCCCCCAACCCCAACACCCAACCCCAACCTCTGCTTTCCCCAGGCCCAGATTTGGGGGCGATTTCTGCAGATTTGAGTTGACTTCCTCTTCCCATTCCCACCTCACATCTGGGATTCCCCGCCCCGAGCGTCCCCCAGGGGTGCAGAACTCGGATAAAAAAGCCCAAAACAGAGAATTCCGTAGAGAAACGCGTGGTTTATGTGGAGGAGCAGCGGCGCCGCGGTCACATGGCGAAGAGGATGAGGAAGGCCACCATGAGGCAGAAGAGCCCCATGGCCTCGGAGAGCGCGAAGCCCAGGATGGCGTAGGAGAAGAGCTGCTGCTTCAGCGACGGGTTCCTGCACGGGAAAACGGGAGGGGGTGCAGAACACAGATAAAAACCCCAAAACAGCGAATTCCGCAGAGAAATCCTTGGTTTCCTTTGGGAATTCCACCCCAGCCCCCAACCCCAAACTCTTACTTCCCAGGGCCCCGATTTGGGGCGATTTTTTACAAATTTGGCTCCACCTTCATTCTCCTCTCCTCCCATTCCCCAACCCCAAGCTCTGCTTTCCCAAGGCCCAGATTTGGGGGGGATTTCTGCAGATTTGAGTTGACTTCCTCTTCCCATTCCCACCTCACATCTGGGATTCCCCGCCCCGAGCGTCCCCCAGGGGTGCAGAAGTCGGATAAAAAAGCCCAAAACAGAGAATTCCGTAGAGAAACGCGTGGTTTATGTGGAGGAGCAGCGGCGCCGCGGTCACATGGCGAAGAGGATGAGGAAGGCCACCATGAGGCAGAAGAGCCCCATGGCCTCGGAGAGCGCGAAGCCCAGGATGGCGTAGGAGAAGAGCTGCTGCTTCAGCGACGGGTTCCTGCACGGGAAACCGCGGTGAGAGTGGGACGGGAATGGGGATGGGAAAATGGGAATGGAAATGGGAAACCGGAGTGAGAGCGGGACGGGGAACGGGAACGGGGATGGGAATGGGAAAATGGGAATGGAAATGGGAAACCGGAGTGAGAGCGGGACGGGGAACGGGAACGGGGATGGGGATGAGAAAATGGGGAATACGGATGGGAAATGGGAAACGGGAATGGGGATGGGAAAATGGGGAATGGGAAATGGGAGTGACAATGGGAACGGGGATGGGAAACGGGGATGGGAATCGGGAGTGAGAATGGGAACAGGGATGAGAAAATGGGGAATGCAAATGGGAAACAGGGTGAGAGCGGGAATGGGGAATGGGAACAGGCAATAATGTCCCAAACCCAGAACCAGGGAATGAAACCAGGAAATAAAACCAGGGAATAACACCAGGGGATCCCCCAAACCAGGGAATCCTCAGACCAGGGAAGGATGTCCCAAACCAGGGAACGAAACCAGGGAATCATGTCCCAAACCAGCCCCGTCAGGGAATGAAACCAGGGAATAAATCCAGGGAATAAATGACCAAAGCAGGGAATGAAACCAGGAACAAATCCAGGGAATGAAACCAGGGAATAAATCCAGGGAATGACCCCCAGGGCAGCCCAGGGTGTGGCTGGGCAGGGAGCAGCTGGGATGGGTGGGTCAGGATGGGGTATCCGGGGTTTTTCCTGTTTTTGGGGATGTGAAACCCTGGATTTGGCTGGCACCTGGTGGCTCCAAGCTGCAATTCCTGCAATTCCTTCCGGGGCAGCAGAGCTCCAGAGGGAAGTTGGGAATCAATTAGAATTCAAACAATTCAGGGACTTTAACAGAACAAGGGATTAATTTAATAGAATAACGGATTAATTTAATTGAATATTTAATTGAATATTAGTGGATTATCTTAAAAGAACAACCATTTTAATAGAATGGATTACCCTAATAAAATAATTATTTTAGTAGAATAATGAGATTACTTTAACAGAATGGATTATGTTGAGATAATAGCACTGTTTTATTAGAATAGTTGTTTTAAGAGAGTGGATTATTTTTAACAGAACAGTGGATTCTTTTTAGGAGAAGAATGGATTATTTAAAGAAATGGATTATTTTAAGAGAAAAATGGCTTGTTTTAATAGACTGTATTAGTTTAATAGAATAATGGAGGTTTTTAAGAGAAGAGGGGATCATTTTTAGGGGAATGGGGGATTTTTAAGGGAATGGGGGACTAATTTTTAAGGGAATGGGGACCATTTTAAAGGACCATTTTTGGGCAAGACTGAACCATTTAAAAGGGAATGCTGCACCACACACCCGTTGATATCTGAGTCCTTAACACCCATCCTGTTCCACATCCCCTGAGCACTGCCAGCCCCAAATCCTGGGGAAAGGTCCCTGGGAATGGCCCCAGATCCCGGGGAATGGCCCCAAATCCCGGGGACAGGTCCCTGGGAATGGCCCCAAATCACAGGGAATGGCCCCAAATCCTGGGGAAAGGTCCCTGGGAATGGCCCCAAATCACAGGGAATGGCCCCAAATCCCGGGGAAAGGTGTCTGGGAATGGCCCCAAATCCTGGGGAAAGGTCCCAAATCCCGGGAAAGGCCCCAGCCCCGGGGAAAGGCCCCAGCCCCGGGGAAGCCCCAGCCCCGGGGAAGGCCCGCTCCCGTTCCCGTTCCCGTTCCCATTCCCGTTCCCGTTGCTGTTCCCGTTCCCGTTCCCGTTGCCGTTGCCGTTCCCGTTGCCATTCCCATTCCCGTTCCCGTTCCCGTTCCCGCTCCCGTTCCCGCTCCCGTTCCCATTCCCGTTCCCGTTCCCGTTCCCGGCCCCACCCCTGGCGTAGCCGATGATGAGGCTCCCGAACACGGTGCCGATCCCCGCCCCCGAGCCCGCCACGCCCACGGTGGCGGCGCCGGCCCCGATGAACTTGGCGGCCGTGTCGATGTCCCGGGACAGCGCGGTGCTGCGGAACTGCCGCCGGGGCTGCGCGCCCACAGACACCTGGGGACACAGGGACACAGCTGGGACACATCAGGGACACACCAGGGACAGCTCGGGGACACAGGGACAGCTCAGGGACACACCAGGGACAGGGCACAGGGACAGCGCAGTGCTGCGGAACTGCCGCCGGGGCTGCGCGCCCACAGACACCTGGGGACACAGGGACAGCTCAGGGACACACCAGGGACACGGGGACACACCAGGGACACACCAGGGACAGGGCACAGGGACAGCGCGGTGCTACGGAACTGCCGCCGGGGCTGCGCGCCCACAGACACCTGGGGACACAGGGACAGCTCAGGGACACACCAGGGACACGGGGACACACCAGGGACACACCAGGGACAGGGCACAGGGACAGCGCGGTGCTACGGAACTGCCGCCGGGGCTGCGCGCCCACAGACACCTGGGGACACAGGGACAGCTCAGGGACACACCAGGGACACGGGGACACACCAGGGACACACCAGGGACAGGGCACAGGGACAGCGCGGTGCTACGGAACTGCCGCCGGGGCTGCGCGCCCACAGACACCTGGGGACACAGGGACAGCTCAGGGACACACCAGGGACACGGGGACA